CTAACATACCCTTACCTCACCTATGGTATTTGTGCTTTGGGGATCTTCCACGGCCACTCACCTTAAACCTTTAATAACCCAACAAAAAACAGTGGTGCAGATGATCACAAACTCCAGCACCAGACAACACGCCCCACCACTCTTCAAAATCTTAAACGTACTTTATATAAATTTTATTTTATTTTTTTTTAACAAGGCGGCCGTCTCCCACCGAGGCAGGGTGACCCAAAAAGAAAGAAAATCCCCCAAAATAAAATACTTTCATCATCATTCAACTCTTTCATCTCACTCACACATAATCACTGTTTTTGCAGAGGTGCTCAGAACACAACAGCTTAGAAGCATATACATATAAAGATACACAACATATCCCTCCAAACTGCCAATATCCCAAACCCCTCCTTTAGAGTGCAGGCATTGTACTTCCCATTTCCAGGACTCAAGTCCGGCTATATAAAAATAACCGGTTTCCCTGAATCCCTTCACTAAATATTACCCTGCTCACACTCGTCAGGTCCCAAATACCAATAAAAAATATACACATTTATTACTGTGCCTACTATATATACAGAACATTAAACTCCAATATCAACCCTCCATTCAAATTTCGCCTAGAGAGCTTCAATAGAACACACAGGCATAACACGAGGCGCAAAACACTTTTTGACATCCCTCGTATCTGTCTCACACTATGCAAAAATACAATGCACATAAAGGGCCCAAAGATCTGGAACTCTTTGCCTGCAACAGCAAGAGGTCCCCTGCCCACAAATCAATTTAGGACTATACTCAAAAATCATCTTATCGCTCAATAAAAACCATACCCACACTATGCTAAACTCTAACCAAATTTAAAGCAACTTTCCCAAATATTTTATTATCCCTTAACTTTTTTTTTTTTTTTCAACAAGTCGGCCGTCTCCCACCGAGGCAGGGTGACCCAAAAAAGAAAGAAAATCCCTTAACTATTAAGCCATTATTACAAACTTAAAAATGCATGTTTGTATCATTAATTGTACTGCCTCATATTAATTTTTTTTTTTTTTTTCAACAAGTCGGCCGTCTCCCACCGAGGCAGGGTGACCCAAAAAAGAAAGAAAATCCCCAAAAAGAAAATACTTTCATCATCATTCAACACTTTCACCACACTTGCACATTATCACTGTTTTTGCAGAGGTGCTCAGAATACAACAGTCTAGAAGCATACACATATAAAGATACACAACATATCCCTCCAAACTGCCAATATCCCAAACCCCTCCTTTAAAGTGCAGGCATTGTACTTCCCATTTCCAGGACTCAAGTCCGACTATATGAAAATAACCGGTTTCCCTGAATCCCTTCACTAAATATTACCCTGCTCACACTCCAACAGATCTTCAGGTCCCAAGTACCATTCGTCTCCATTCACTCCTATCTAACACGCTCACGCACGCTTGCTGGAAGGTCCAAGCCCCTTACCCACAAAACCTCCTTTACCCCCTCTCTCCAACCCTTTCGAGGACGACCCCTACCCCGCCTTCCTTCCCCTATAGATTTATATGCTTTCCATGTCATTCTACTTTGATCCATTCTCTCTAAATGACCAAACCACCTCAACAACCCCTCTTCTGCCCTCTGACTAATACTTTTATTAACTCCACACCTTCTCCTAATTTCCACACTCCGAATTTTCTGCATAATATTTACACCACACATTGCCCTTAAACAAGACATCTCACTGCCTCCAACGTCTCCTCGCTGCTTCATTTACCACCCAAGCTTCACACCCCATATAAGAGTGTTGGTACTACTATACTTTCATACATTCCCTTCTTTGCCTCCATAGATAACGTTTTTTGACTCCACATATACCTCAACGCACCACTCACCTTTTTTCCCTCATCAATTCTATGATTAACCTCATCCTTCATAAATCCATCCGCCGACACGTCAACTCCCAAGTATCTGAAAACATTCACTTCTTCCATACTCCTCCTCCCCAATTTGATATCCAATTTTTCTTTATCTAAATCATTTGACACCCTCATCACCTTACTCTTTTCTATGTTCACTTTCAACTTTCTACCTTTACACACATTCCCAAACTCATCCACTAACCTTTGCAATTTTTCTTTAGAATCTCCCATAAGCACAGTATCATCAGCAAAAAGTAACTGTGTCAATTCCCATTTTGAATTTGATTCCCCATAATTTAATCCCACCCCTCTCCCAAACACCCTAGCATTTACTTCCTTTACAACCCCATCTATAAATATATTAAACAACCATGGTGACATTACACATCCCTGTCTAAGACCTACTTTTACCGGGAAGTAGTCTCCCTCTCTTCTACACACCCTAACCTGAGCCTCACTATCCTCATAAAAACTCTTTACAGCATTTAATAACTTACCACCTATTCCATATACTTGCAACATCTGCCACATTGCTCCTCTATCCATATTAATAATAAATAAAATTACAAACTTAAAAATGCATGTTTATATCATAAATAATCATCGAGTAAAATATTGAATATTTATATTTTACCACTCTTCACCAGTCTAGACTTAAGTAGTCTTTAAGTATTAGATTAAGTCTGCCCAAAATGCCTCGGCACAGTAGTGGCTTTCTTTCTTCTAATTAAATTATGAAATGTAAACACACCTTGTAACCTTAAGAAAAGAAATAAAATTTTATTTTATTATTTTTTTAAGTGTTTTTCCACCATACTTATTGCCAATACCTGCTATGTGCAACTATTTTATAGTATGTGTCTGTCCCTTGTGATATTTTATGCCATTTCATTTCTCATTTTTTGTAATACCTCAAGTCATAATCCAGAACACACAATTTACATCAGAACATGACCATCTTTTGAGTGGATATGGATTGTTGATGTTGAGCATTTCTACCCCTTTTTTCTAGTATAAACTAGATCTAGTATGAATGATGCATTGCCTTCTCTCACTCAAGTTGCACCTTCAGTGTGCCGATTTATTAAAAAACTTAATTACAATAAGGAATTTGAATGACCATTTGTTTAGCCTTCCAGCCTCAGAGATTACCCAATCTTTTTATTTATATTCGGTAGATGAAATCTCTGAATGCAATAACTTGAAGTTTCATGGTTACTTTTCATCAATCGTTCCCTGAGTAGATTATGTAATCCCTCATTTACCGAGCCACATTCTTCTCTCACACTTGTTAAAAGGTGGATTGCATGCATTTATTACTGTGAGATTTTCATCTTTATTTTGAAAGTCATCATAGGCAAAAATAACACTATGAGACTGCAAAGCACTAAAGAAATACAGATTATATGATTCAGGGGCAATATGTGCATCATCTTGAAGCAACTTGGTAGAAGCACTACTGAGATACTAACAAAACAAAAAGTACACTAATAAAAAAATAAAAGCAAAATTTGTTCCTAAAACTGCTGCTACAAGGCTACAGTTCCAAAGCATCACACACTGTATGAACCCAAGACAAATGTGGTATGTACTAGAAGACACATACTGCTGATCCTGGCTCAAACTACATATTAATGAGAGAATCCTTTTATAGTGGCAATTCCAATCTCATTAGATATAAATTAAATACAGTACTACCTTTTCTGTGGTTATTCCAATCTTTCTAGATAAAAGCCAAATACTCCCTTTACTGTGGTTTTTCAAATCATCCTAAATGTCAGTCAAATATTCCCTCTTCTGCAGTGGTTCCAATACTGATAGATCTCATTTAGATATCTTTCCTGTGGAGACTCCAATCCCACTAGATATCAACTGGATACTCTCTTTTCTGTGAAGACTCCAATCCCAGAATTTTGGATTGTCAGTTTAGTGTGACTGCTGATTCATTGTGCTCTGCTTGCCTCATTACCTTGTCTGAGCTAAGGAATGCCAATTCCACTGAAGATAAAAGGTCATAGATGCTCACTACAGAACAGCAAGAATAAAGTTTGCACTGAAACCCCTTTTTTAAGTTTCCAATTAGGATAATGCACCACAAGCAAGAGCTACTTCTAAAGTACTGTATAGATAGCTAGAAAAAAAATTGACTAGCATTATAGTATTATTAAACTATGTTATGTCAACAATATTTGGTGTTTTAATTTTTTTATATAAAAAACAGTAAGGATACGAATGGCTACATTAACTATGAAAAATAGTATTACAAAGGGAACAGAGCTTGGCAACAGCACCAGAAATAAAAGCACACTGCTTACACAACTGGCTCAGCACCCAGCTTTCAAACATCTCTTTAGCATAACAAATGTTTGCGCAAATAAAAATGTTAGTAATGTCCTGTGAAAATAAAAAAAATGATAGAGATAATAAAATGACTGCATGAAGCATGTGATGTGTATAGCATAAGATAGTACACTGACACCCACAAGGGAGTGAACAGACGAAGGCTGCCAAGCCGTGCAGTGTGCTGGTCTACTATTAGCTGAGCACTCTCTCAGCCATCTCCACATATTAACAGCAGATGTTCAAGAGACAAATGGTCAGCTGAAAAAGGCTTTCCAGGTGCATCTCAGGCCAGTAAATCAGGTTTATGTGACATGTGTCTACATAAAAGCTGGTTATGGCAACAAAATGCACTGCCCAATCAGGGACACCAATTGTCAAGAATTTTGTTATCATAAAATTTGAATACTTGCACTGAACATGGCTATAAACACTCTTGAAATTGCAATGCATGCACTGATCTTATAGCCATACAGTACATTTTTATTTGCTATTAAAGGCACAGTGCACATCAGCTTCTAGCTATTCAAATTGATTGTCTTCATGAAATGATCATGGTGGGAGAGTGCATAACACCAGACTCTGGCCAAACAGTGCACCTTGGGCAAAACAGTCAATGAGCAATGCAAGGGCACCCTATAGAAAAGGGGCAGACCAAATTAAAAATATACAGCAAAACGGCTTGAGCAAGGGGTAACCAGCCATACAGGTCTGAGATGCGTGGGCACAACTTTGGGTGTAATGAATGGGCAGATTACTTACATGGCCCGAGATCAGCAGGACGGTTGTCATTGTGGTAGATGACCTTGCCATCCAGGCCTGCTGAAGGTGGCATTAGGGAGAAAATTGTACCCACATTAGCTCAGCCTTCAGTCATCACTGCTGATAGCAGCCACTGAGGTCAAACTTAACTGACCAAGAATCGGATGCTCATTTTCAGAGATGAGAGCTAAAATGGTGCTTGTGAATCACTAATGACAGCTGACCCAATCTGTGCACTGGCTATAGCAGAGCTTCAGTTTTTTATTATTAGATAAACTAGCATGGTAACTAAGGTATGGGTGAGAAAATATTACAACCGCATACTGTACTGTATAACAGAGCAAGTCCCCTAAGATACGCAGTGATATGGTGTGCTGCCTTCTTGCAATAAGGGTTGGCTTTTCAGTTACCTTGTATATACTAAAATAATTTTAGAGGAGTTTCTCAAATAATGGCAAGAGCAAACCATACTGTGTTCTTGGGTATCAGCCTTAGGAAGCGGCTCCACAGGATTCTGATTCTGTTTAAATTCATATCAATTATATATGAAATGTCCCTTACAATTAACTACCTGTAGCCTATACTGAACAGAAGTAGCTCACCTTCTTGAACTTCAATGCCCTCTTGCTTCAATAGTTCACGAAGACGCTGGATCTCCTCCTTCAACTCACGAATCAATTTTGCATTAGCATCCTCATTAACCACAGCATTGCAACGAATTTGTTTGGCTCGATCTGCATACCTAATAAATTTTTTATAAGGATGTCAAAATATTTTTTATTCTATACTATTAATATAAAGAAACACTGTTAAAGCTATCTAATCTGAGTAACACAGGAAGAACAATTAAGTCTTTATTCAATAAAAAAAGTAAATTCCTAAACAAGGAGAATTAAAGGACATACAGACATACCTAAGAGTCGAGAGTGTTTCATCATAGTTAATATCTGCAGGAGATATGGCTGCAACCATAGCAGTTTTGCTGTTTCCACCAAGATTTTCTCTAAGAAGCCACGTCAGTACCGAGTCACGATATGGGATGAATTCTGTTTTTCTTTTCTTATTTGGTTTTGAGGCCTGAAAACACCAGAAAAATAAGTACGGTGGTACTAAACATAAAGAAATAGTTAAATGATTCAGAGAGATACAGCTCACTTCTTTTGAAGTGAGTGAACTACCATATGATTTGGTTTCTAGTAACTGTTAATATCATGATCGCTATGTAGCCATGATCAAAAGAGAGAGAGAGAGAGAGAGAACAGATCCTATAATTAGGAACACGTACCTTATTTGCCTATTATGGCAGAACAGATATGAAAAAAAGGCAAAAATCAGAAGTGTAAATCATCTCGATCTTCCAAAAATTAGTGGAAGGCTGAGTTATGTTTCAGTATACATCTACTATTTTGCCATTTAATAAACTACAGTGTAAAGCAAAGCAGAGTGGACACTTACTACTTCAGCAAGACCAGAGATGACTTTGCCAAGTGTGGTCAATGATTTATTGATGTTAGCACCCTCTTTCAGCCGAGTACCTTTTGCTCCGGTGGAATCTGCTCTTTCAGAACCAGCTAAATCCACTAAAGATATCTGTAAATTTAAATTTGCAACAATACAATAGTGAAATAGTTAAATTATTAAAAAATACCATTGTATAGACAATAATTACAATGTAACAAAGTGAAGAAACTTGTGTCTGTTAGCAGTGCTCTTTAACTGTTTCAACAGGCAGTGTAAATAACTTTACCTTAATGAAAACACAAAACATGACTGGGCCATGTTACATTTCAATAAAAGATGTGCCTACCAGTATATAACAGGTATATTATTTCAAACAAGGTTGTCCAGCTTCTGATTAGCTGATGGGCAACACTGCCCACCAGATAATCAGAAGCTGGCCACATGTATATATGTTTTGTACAAGAAAAATATATACTACAATGCAGTATTTTGATCAGGAGCATAACTGCACACAGAAATGGGTCTGCATATGATCATTAGCAATGGTTAATATTTTAGATACACATAACTGATGACAACAAATAAGTAAAGGATTGTTATTACAAAATATTTTTAATACATTTATGGATTTTATAATTATTTATTTTTCAAAGGTGAACTCAAAGATGTACTGCTCATGCACTCTGTCCATGGGTTGCATACAGCACAGAGCTCACTGTTTTGAGACCAATGATTTAAAAGAAAAAACTGAATCCTTATTCTGAATACTGCTTCATATTAATATAATTAAATATCAGAAAGTAGTGAAAAATATATTATATCAGTATCTGCCTATCTTCTACTAGTCAGGCAAATTAAATTTCACACCGAATAAATTAGATATGACAGTTTCAGTACAGATAACTAAGGTCATATGCTTAAAATTTATCAATATAATTTCAAATATGAATCAATGTCAAAATGCATTATGAAGGGTTTCAAAAAAGCCAGTTAGATGGGCTTCAAGTTCTGGACTTGCTACCATAAAATGGTTGCACTATATAAAGAAACCCATGCACTCTACTGCACAATACATATTCAACAACTTTGTGAGATTTTATGACCCTGTCACTAGGCCTTAGACTCGTAAGTATTAAACAGGATGATAATATATTAAAAAAATAATTGTTTATAAGATTCTATGTCACCATGGTTAATAAATACATTTATAGATGAGGTTGTAAAAGATGTAAACACTAGGGTAAGTGTAAATGTGCAAGATTAAAAGATAATGAATCTGATAGAAAGTGAGAGTTGTCACAGTTGCATTTTGCCGATGACACGGTTCTTTTGGGAGATTCTGAAGAGAAGTCGCAAAGGATGGTAGACAAATTTGGGAGAGTATGTAAAAGAAAAAAAAAGAAAAGTGAACAGAGGAAAGAGCAAGGAGATGAAAGTTACAAAAAAAAAAAAAAAACCAAGCCAATGAAAGACTAGATATCAGATTGGAGTTGAGGGAGTGCTGAGGACGCTACTTTTTTTTTTTTTTTTTTTTTTTTAACTCGGCAAGTGTCTCCCACCATGGAGGAAATAAATGTGTTAAGACATTTGGGAGTGAACTTGTGAGCAGATAGGTTTGTTATAAATGAATTGAACAATAGAATTACGAGGGAAAAAGGTGGGTGGTGCATTGAGTCATCTGTGGAGACAAAGAACTTTATCCACGAAGTAAATAAAAGATTATATACTGGAGCATACAAGTAAAGAATACATAAGATAAGGGTGAAGAACTGTTTGTTATACTTATGGATTTGGGAAGGGCATATATTACTATACTGTATGACAATACTGTAATACAGGTTTATTACAAAATAATGAATAATCTAAGAAAGGTATGCTATACATATCCAAGGAATTATCAACAAAGTCCACAACATGTACTGCTACATAAAAGAAACTGTAGTGCATCATGTGTTGTGTTTTCTCTAAACCATTTTAACAACAAAATCACAATATAGTGGTCCCTCGCTTTTCGTAGTTCTCGGCAATCGTAAATTTGCCAATCATAGGGGTATTTTCGTATAAACATGGACTCGCTTTTCATAGGTTGACTCGCGAATAGTAGTTCGTCCGGGAAAGCGTGTGCACGGTGTGAGCCGGGGCAGCCTCCCTACCCAGCCAGTCTGGCATTGTTTACCAGTGAGTGAAGGTCCCCTCAAGTGCTCCTACGAAATATTTCATAATATTCCACTCATTTTAGTGCTTGCAATTACTAAATAAGCTAAACCCTGCTCCAAAGAAAGCTCCTAGTGCCAAGCCTGTGGTAAAGAAGGTGAGAAAATGTACAGTGACAAAGTCTTGGGCCATTTTAGGAAGTGTTAAAGAGACGCCAGAAACAGACTCTCTCCCACAGTTTTCTTTGCGAGACAGGACTAGAGTGACTCTCAAGGGGGTCCTAGTGGCATTAAGAAACAGAAGAGAAGCAACCCCAGAGAAGCAATTGGTACCTGAGGTGTTGCGGAAGGGGATTCCCCTTCCAAACTGTAAACAATCAATCTCTCTCCTCCTCCAATCTCCCATACACTAAAAAGAATCTCCCAAAAAAGGTAAGTGTTATGCTGTTAATGTTTCATTCATCATTTCCCATTGTATTGTTTATGTACTACATGAATATTTCATGTAAAAAATTTTTTTGTTTTAATACTTCTGGGTGTCAGGAACGGATTAATTGTATTTACATTATTTCTTATGGGGAAAATTGATTCGCAAATCGTAAATTTCGTTTATAGTAGCTCCTCCAGGAACGGATTAATTACGAAAAACGAGGGACCACTGTACTAGTTAAAAAGTTACAAAATACAGAATGTGAAAACATCCATCACAAATGAGATGAATTAACATGGCAGTTTGAAGTATAGTATGTACAAACATTTTAGTGCCTAAGCAATTATCATACAGATCTTTCCATAAATTTCTTATTATTCATATTTTTTTATATCTCTAATAAAAACATAACATTAAGATAAAACCATGCAGCATGGTATAAATTTCAGCACATGAACATTCCAAGTTCTGAAAGTAAACCACAAAATACGAAACAATCTTATTGTTATCGGTACATCTGTGGGGCGACCTCATGTATTAGATATATAAACTCTCTCTCACTTTAATGGCAAGTTTATTTTAATAGGAAAAAATTAGACAGGTCAATAAGCAATAGAGGAATAGCACAATACCTTCGAGACTCTCTCTGTTGAGAGTTTTGTGGTGGAATCATTACGACGCTGAGTTAAAACAATTGTAAACACTGCATGGGAACGAGAAGATGTTTCATTCATGTTGGTAGCTGCCACCGTTCTGTGAATAATTAAATATGGTAGGTACCATAATGCGCAAATCCTAAAATTATGCAATAATGTTTGAGTTCCCTGAAAGTTATATAAACTTAGAAACATTATTTAAGGTTTATATAGGTAATGAGAGTAAAAAGTGATCTTTTGAAGCAGTTTTGGCAGTTTGGAGGGATATGTTGTGTATCTTCATACGTATATGCTTCTAAACTGTTGTGTTTTGGGAACCTCTGCAAAAACAGTAATTATGTATGAGTGAGATGAAAGTGTTGAATGATGATGAAAGTATTTTCTTTTTGGGTCACCCTGCCTCGGTGGGAGACGGCCAACTTTTTAATAAATAATAAATAAATTATTATAATATATATATATATATATATAATATATATATATATATATATATATATATATATATTTATATATATATATATAATATATATATTATATATCTTCTTCTTCTTCTTTCAACGTACCAGCCGTATCCCACTGAGGTGGGGTGGCCCAAAACAAAAAACTGAAGTTTCTCCTTTTAAATTTAGTAATATATACAGGAGAAGGGGTTACTAGCCCCTTGCTCCCGGCATTTTAGTCGCCTCTTACGACACGCATGGCTTACAGATGAAGAATTCTGTTCCACTTCCCCATGGAGATAAGAGGAAATAAACAAGAACAAGAATTAGAAAGAAAATAGAAGAAAACCCAGAGGGGTGTGTATATATATGCTTGTACATGTATGTGTAGTGTGACCTAAGTGTAAGTAGAAGTAGCAAGACTTACCTGTAATCTGCATATTATGAGACAGACAAAAGCACCAGCAATCCTACCATCATATAAAACAATTACAGGCTTTCGTTTTACACTCACTTGGCAGGACGGTAGTACCTCCCTGGGCGGTTGCTGTCTACCAACCTACTACCTAGGAAATATATATATATATATATATATATATATATATATATATATATATATATATATTTTTTTTTTTTTTTTTTTTCAACAAGTCGGCCGTCTCCCACCGAGGCAGGGTGACCCAAAAAAGAAAGAAAATCCCCAAAAAGAAAATACTTTCATCATCATTCAACACTTTCACCACACTCGCACATTATCACTGTTTTTGCAGAGGTGCTCAGAATACAACAGTCTAGAAGCATAAACATATAAAGATACACAACATATCCCTCCAAACTGCCAATATCCCAAACCCTCCTTTAAAGTGCAGGCATTGTACTTCCCATTTCCAGGACTCAAGTCCGACTATATGAAAATAACCGGTTTCCCTGAATCCCTTCACTAAATATTACCCTGCTCACACTCCAACAGATCGTCAGGTCCCAAGTACCATTCGTCTCCATTCACTCCTATCTAACACGCTCACGCACGCTTGCTGGAAGTCCAAGCCCCTTACCCACAAAACCTCCTTTACCCCCTCTCTCCAACCCTTTCGAGGACGACCCCTACCCCGCCTTCCTTCCCCTATAGATTTATATGCTTTCCATGTCATTCTACTGTGATCCATTCTCTCTAAATGACCAAACCACCTCAACAACCCCTCTTCTGCCCTCTGACTAATACTTTTATTAACTTCCACACCTTCTCCTAATTTCCACACTCCGAATTTTCTGCATAATATTTACACCACACATTGCCCTTAAACAGGACATCTCCGCTGCCTCCAACCGTCTCCTCGCTGCTGCATTTACCACCCAAGCTTCACACCCATATAAGAGTGTTGGTAACTACTATACTTTCATACATTCCCTTCTTTGCTCCATAGATAACGTTTTTTGACTCCACATATACCTCAACGCACCACTCACCTTTTTTCCCTCATCAATTCTATGATTAACCTCATCCTTCATAAATCCATCCGCCGACACGTCAACTCCCAAGTATCTGAAAACATTCACTTCTTCCATACTCCTCCTCCCAATTTGATATCCAATTTTTCTTTATCTAAATCATTTGATACCCTCATCACCTTACTCTTTTCTATGTTCACTTTCAACTTTCTACCTTTACACACATTCCCAAACTCATCCACTAACCTTTGCAATTTTTCTTTAGAATCTCCCATAAGCACAGTATCATCAGCAAAAAGTAACTGTGTCAATTCCCATTTTGAATTTGATTCCCCATAATTTAATCCCACCCCTCTCCCAACACCCTAGCATTTACTTCCTTTACAACCCCATCTATAAATATATTAAACAACCATGGTGACATTACACATCCCTGTCTAAGACCTACTTTTACCGGGAAGTAGTCTCCCTCTCTTCTACACACCCTAACCTGAGCCTCACTATCCTCATAAAAACTCTTTACAGCATTTAATAACTTACCACCTATTCCATATACTTGCAACATCTGCCACATTGCTCCTCTATCCACTCTATCATATGCCTTTTCTAAATCCATAAATGCAATAAAAACTTCCCTATCTTTATCTAAATACTGTTCACATATATGCTTCAATGTAAACACCTGATCTACACATCCCCTACCCACTCTAAAACCTCCTTGCTCATCCGCAATCCTACATTCTGTCTTAACCTCTAATTCTTTCAATTATAACCCTACCGTACACTTTTCTGGTATACTCAGTAAGCTTATTCCTCTATAATTTTTACAGTCTCTTTTGTCCCCTTTCCCTTTATATAAAGGGACTATACATGCTTACATGCTCTCTGCATGTATATAATATATATATATAATATATATATATATATATATATAATATATATATATATATATTTATATATATATATATATGTATATATATATATATATATATATATATTTCCTAGGTAGTAGGTTGGTAGACAGCAACCGCCCAGGGAGGTACTACCGTCCTGCCAAGTGAGTGTAAAACGAAAGCCTGTAATTGTTTTACATGATGGTAGGATTGCTGGTGTCTTTTGTCTGTCTCATAAATATGCAAGATTACAGGTACATCTTGCTACTTCTACTTACACTTAGGTCACACTACACATACATGTACAAGCACATATATACACACCCTCTGGGTTTTTCTATTTTCTTTTAGTTCTTATTCTTGTTTATTTCCTCTTATCTCCATGGGGAAGTGGAACAGGAATTCTTCCTCCGTAAGCCATGCATGTTGTAAGAGGCGACTTAAAATGCCGGGAGCAAGGGGCTAGTAACCTCTTTTCCTGTATATATTACTAAATGTAAAAGGAGAAACTTCGTTTTTCCTTTTGGGCCACCCCGCCTCGGTGGGATACGGCCGGTTTGTTGAAAGAAAAAAAAAAAAATTTATAATATTAAAATATAATATATTATAAATATTAACAGTTACTTTTTGCTGATGATACTGTGCTTATGGGAGATTCTAAAGAAAAATTGCAAAGGTTAGTGGATGAGTTTGGAATGTGTGTAAAGGTAGAAAGTTGAAAGTGAACATAGAAAAGAGTAAGGTGATGAGGGTGTCAAATGATTTAGATAAAGAAAAATTGGATATCAAATTGGGGAGGAGGAGTATGGAAGAAGTGAATGTTTTCAGATACTTGGGAGTTGACGTGTCGGCGGATGGATTTATGAAGGATGAGGTTAATCATAGAATTGATGAGGGAAAAAAGGTGAGTGGTGCGTTGAGGTATATGTGGAGTCAAAAAACGTTATCTATGGAGGCAAAGAAGGGAATGTATGAAAGTATAGTAGTACCAACACTCTTATATGGGTGTGAAGCTTGGGTGGTAAATGCAGCAGCGAGGAGACGGTTGGAGGCAGTGGAGATGTCCTGTTTAAGGGCAATGTGTGGTGTAAATATTATGCAGAAAATTCGGAGTGTGGAAATTAGGAGAAGGTGTGGAGTTAATAAAAGTATTAGTCAGAGGGCAGAAGAGGGGTTGTTGAGGTGGTTTGGTCATTTAGAGAGAATGGATCAAAGTAGAATGACATGGAAAGCATATAAATCTATAGGGGAAGGAAGCGGGGTAGGGGTCGTCCTCGAAAGGGTTGGAGAGAGGGGGTAAAGGAGGTTTTGTGGGCAAGGGGCTTGGACTTCCAGCAAGCGTGCGTGAGCGTGTTAGATAGGAGTGAATGGAGCGAATGTACTTGGGACCTGACGATCTGTTGGAGTGTGAGCAGGGTAATTATTTAGTGAGGGATTCAGGGAAACCGGTTATTTTCATATAGTGGGACTTGAGTCCGGGAAATGGGAATTTACAATGCCTGCACTTTAAAGGAGGGGTTTGGGATTTTGGCAGTTGGAGGGATATGTTGTGTATCTCTATACATATATGCTTCTAAACTGTTATATTCTGAGCACCTCTGCAAAAGCAGTGATAATGTGTGAGTGTGGTGAAAGTGTTGAATGATGATGAAAGTATTTCTTTTTGGGGATTTTCTTCTTTTTTTGGGTCACCCTGCCTCGGTGGGAGACGGCCGAACTTGTTGGAAAAAAAAAAAAAAAAAAAAAAAAATATAAATTTCCAGGTAGTAGGTTGGTAGACAGCAACCGCCCAGGGAGGTACTACCGTCCTGCCAAGTGAGTGTAAAACGGAAGCCTGTATTGTTTTACATGATGGTAGATGCTGGTGTCCATTTTTCTGTCTCATAAACATGCAAGATTTCAGGTATGTCTTGCTACTTCTACTTACACTTAGGTCACACTACACATACATGTACAAGCTATATATACACACCCCTCTGGGTTTTTAATATTTTCTTACTAGTTCTGTTGTTTATTTTTCTTACCTCCATGGGGAAGTGGAAACAGAATTCTTCCTCGTAAGCCATGCGTGTTGTAAGAGGCGACTAAATGCCGGAGCAAGGGGCTAGTAACCTCTTCTCCTGTATATATTACTAAATGTAAAAGGAGAAACTTTCGTTTTTCCTTTTGGGCCACCCCGCCTCGGTGGGATATGGCTGATGTGTTGAAAGAAAGAAAGATATATATATATATATATATATATATATATATTGGCAGTTTGGAGGGGTATGTTGTGTATCTTTATACGTATATGCTTCTAAACTGTTGTATTCTGAGCACCTCTGCAAAAGCAGTGATAATGTGTGAGTGTGGTGAAAGTGTTGAATGATGATGAAAGTATTTTCTTTTTGGGGATTTTCTTTCTTTTTTGGGTCACCCTGCCTCAGTGGGAGACGGCCGACTTGTTGGGAACATTGGGCATGATTTCTTACACCTGCTGCTCATGTTCAGCTAACAGTAAGTAGGTAACTGGGTGCTAGCCGACTGGTGTGGGTTGCATCCTGAGGGTGGTAGTATACCTTAGATAGCGGTGTGCTTTGAAATGAGTTGAGGTAAGATAACAGCTCTTGATTTGTGTAAAAAAAAAAAAATCAAAATTATATTCAGAGATACACACCTGGCTTTGTTTCCTTCATCTATTAAATTGTGAATGTCTTCATAGGTTGTGACTGCTAATTTTGCGAGGTCTTCCACATATGGACCAAGGAGAGGATGCTCACGCACACGAAGATTGTTTTGTTTCTTAGGATTCAGCAGGTCCCTTACACGTTCACAGTAGATTTCCATGTAACTTACCTGTCATAAATTTTTTTTTTAATTTCACATACATGAATGCTGTATATTCAAGTACTGGACTGCACTTTAACAGGCTTCCAGCATTACTAATTCATGAACAGTTTTATAATGTTATAAAATTTTGAGTACAGGAGGGCCCTGCTATATAGCAGGTCAGATTTCAGGCTACTACACTAAAGTGAAAATCACTGTAGAGTGAAATATAGCCTCTTTTCACTTTCAAATGCATATAAAAGCCTGATAACATGTTTGCACTATCATATATAAGGTGAGAAATAGAGTTAGGCAAGAAAAATGCATATAGAGTACACACATTACTTATCTTAAAATATTTGTGTACTTAGCTTTTAGTGAGTTGTGAATATATTTATCCCAAGAAGCGTGAATAAACGAAGGATGGGTATAACTGAAAAACTGCTGTATTAGTGAAATGATGTAAAGCGAAGTGCTGTAACGCTAGGCACTCCTGTACATTACATCAAATTTTTGTATTAATATTCACTTACTACTCTTATAGTATGATACGGTATGGTACAGTATTTGCACAGACAGTGTACAACTGCTGTTTCTAAAAAAAATATTTGAATACTGATTTAACTATATGTACTTTTATTAATAATAAGTTTCTATGAATGAACCCAAGCAGAGTTCTTATATTTCTTTGCATTTTAAGTTTTAAGTTACAAAAATAAACTGATGGAGAAGTACATTAGAGATATACCCACAGCAGTTGTGAACTATCAACAGTGATAGAGGTCACCGTCATACCTCAACGGAATACTGCAGCTCCTCATCTTTACAATTTGCAATTCTTCGAAACATGTCTTTACATACAAGAGGAATGATTCCTTCCTGACCCTCCTCTTGTTTACCCATCATTGTGTATGATTTCCCTGCGCCCGTCTGCCCATATGCAAAAATACAAACATTGTAACCTGTTGGAAAGTGAAACTAAAATTAGTATAATATGATAATAAATAAAATACAATAAATCATGGCATAAGCCTTGGTAATAAATACCACAAGTTGGTTTAGAAAAACACGTAAGCAAACACTAGGACATATTTATTAGAAGATGTTTCGGTCCTGAGACCATGATCATTTCTAACATACAGAGGTTAAAAGACAGTATATATACTGTCTTTTAAACTCTGTATGTTAGAAGTGATCAAGGTCTCAGGACCGAAATGTTTTCTAATAAATATGTCCTAGTGTTTGCTTACGTGTTTTTCTAAACCACAATAAATCATACAAGTTTATTGGGTGGGGATTGGCAGGTTTGAGGGTCATTTGAATTGTGGATTGGCAGGTTAGAGGGTCATTTGAATTGTGGATTGGCAGATTAGAGGGTCATTTGAATTGTGATGACCATGCACAGCCAGATTAAGAGTTGTGGGGAGGTCCCACGGCAAGCAACCTGTAGGAGCCCCTCATATAAAAACTTCCTTGTCAATTTACATACTGGTGTTATTATATACCATGTAAAATAGCTTTGTGTTTGAGTGTGTAGTATTAATGACTCCTAAGCATCATATTTTTCTACTTCAATAGTTTAGATCCCTTGGGATGGGGGGATCTCCTTTTGTGGGGGATAATGGGGCTAGTGCCCCTGTTGTCCACCCTTTAACCTGGTACTGTATCTCTGCACTACTGGAAGGACAACAAGAGAATGAATGAAAGTAACTGTGCTTTCTTGTTTGAGTCACCCTACCTTAGCAGGAAAAAATCAATGTGTTAAACAAATACTCTACTGTATATATACCAAACAATATTACATATAATACAGCATTTTATTAAAGATATAGGTGAGTACAGCTAGATAGCATGCAAGTCTTGTGCCCAATGGATGGAGGATTGAGCCTCTACCACTTCTTGCATTATATCACCCACACCGGTTTAGCACTATACGTACTTGAATTAAAAGAAAAAAAAAATGCCATATATTCAGTGGCAGCACAAAGAGGAGGAGGTAAGGGTGAAGTGCCCCTAATCTTCAATGGTCCACCATATAAAAAGAATTAATAATAATAAGACAGTTTCAAGGTAGGTCCCCAGCATCCCCTACCAATTACAGTGCCACTCTTAAGGACCCTCATATATGGAAATTCCGGAGCTGCCCATGCATGTATTACACAATTATTGTACTGGTTTACATGCTCTTTTCTGAAGTACTACTGTACAGTACAGTACTGTAATGTATTAGTGAGATTTTAGTTTTATTAATATATATGTGAAAATTGCAAGTTAAACAAAATTTCCCATAAATGTTTTTCTTAAGCTACATTATCAAATAGATTGGCTGAACAGGAAAGTTCCCTTACCTTCGAAGGCATGTTGCAACATTTCTTCTCCTATATCTCTAAACACGTCAGATTGTGATGCAAAGTTACTGTCATGTACCTGAAACAGAAAATGATAGTAAGGAGATAGGAACAGTTAATGAAACTACGGTAAAGACAATGAAACAATAAAGAAATGAATCAAATAAACACAACTCATAAAACTGAAGACTGACTGATAGTTATTTTATGCTTTGCTAAACCCATCCTGTGGGCATTAAACCCACATACTGAAGATAAATATTTAAATGACATCTTGGTTTGTCCTAGACTATTAAGTCACAACTGTTACTTATCTGATAATGGTTCAAGACTGAAGGAGATTTATCTCTAATTTGTGGATTAGTTGCAAAATGCATTACAGCATGTCCAAACTGAGAAATTCACAACAAGTGAGCATTTAACTTGTCACTAATTCTTACAACAATCATGTACCGTAATTACTGGAAATGAACATTCTTATTATAAAAAGTGAAAGGGATTCAGCCCCACAGCCCAAGAGTCCTGAGATTATCAAGCGATAAGAAGTGCTACTAAACACTTATCTTCTCCTCCTCTCCATTTAGATAAATGGTTCAGAGAACTGACAAGTTGATATATTAAACACATGTGCAACACTTTGGTAAATTTATTGTAGAAGCATTGTGCTACACAGTGGCTTCATCAGTCCTATACAAAGAAGAATGGTGAAGATCAGAAGAAGTTTGAGGTAATCAGTCCCCCAGCCTGGAGTTGATGTAATTGACTCCAGGGTGGGGGATTGATTACTTCAAACTCCTTCTGATCTTCACCATTATTCTTTGTATAAGACTGATGACATCACTGTGTAGCAAAATGTTTCCTCAATAAAGATACCCAGGTGTTACACAACTGTCTAATTTTTCTCTTCTCCATGTCTCAACTCATAATCATGCTGTCAAAAGCACACACTGTCAGTTTAGGTGGATTAAAATAATGGTAACACTATATGAAGGTAATGACAGGAATTTTATGTAGATAACAGAATTGTAGTGGCAATCTGCGCAAAAACTCACATCATGTGACCAGTATGAGTAGTCGAAGTTGAAGTTCTTGGAGGCATCCTTGCTCCCCGGTGGTGCTTTTGGATTAGTTATACCTGGCACAGAAAAAAAAAAATGTTTATAATACCAGCAAAACGATGTACAGATTAAGGTCAAAGTGAATTATTGGATGAAAAAGTAGAAGACAATTTCCTTGTGATAAAGAGTTCTTATTTTATGAATTGATATCTACGTAATTCCTAATGGAGGAAGCTTCTATTTTCATTATGGCTATTCATTATGGAAAATAACTAAAAATCATGAAAAATACCTAAAAAAAATAACTGAAAGTTATCAAAAATAATGAGAAATGACTAAAAATTATGAAAAATAACAAAGAATTTGGAAAAATAACCATAAATTATGAAAAATAAATAAACATTAACCAACAAATGTCACTCCATTTGAAGTATTTTTTATGCTATTTAAGAATATGCACTTAAAAACATAATAAGAGACACTTTTAGCATGATACAAGGCTGTTTTCTCTCGTTTGTTTCTTAACTGCCCGAGGCACCTTTTGCAGCACATTTAACTTATAAAAACTCTCATAACTATCTATGAAAACTGTATATACAGGATTTTTCATGTTTGTGGGGGAGAAATTGATCCAACAAACAGTGTCATCATGACCATTTTCCACTTTGAGAGAAAAAGTTTTTTCGCCCCCAAAAATCCCTGAACTATAGTTCAGCATTTTTCACCATTTTCGGCGGGATTTTCAAAATTCATTAAAATTACACCAGGTGTACTATTTTCTATACTGATTCAGAATATACACTTAAAAATGTAATATGAGATAGTTTTAGCATCATACGAGGTCTTAAACAGAGGATTAATACAACAGTTGATCTATAGCTAATACTGTCTATAAAGATAAAACAAGAAATTTATAATGAAGAAGATGCATCTATGTATATACATAAATATCCTGTAAATTATAGTACTGCTGAACCTCATGTAACACAATTATTTTCATGTGAAGCACCCCATGCATGTCAGATTCACTCCCTCCTAGTCTCATGGGCTCTATCATATTTGTTCTTAAGAGTACACATGAATCCTACTTCCACAGCCTCTTCATTGAAATAATTCCACTTTCCAACCACTCTGAGGCTGAAGAAATGCTTCCTGATGCCCGTGGCTCATGTGTGTGTCCCTGAGTACCCATTCCTGCCTCTCAAACAGCTTATCACTCTCTACCCTACCAATTACTCTGAGTATTTTGTTTATCATGTCTCCCCTGGTTCTTCTGTCCATCAGTGTTGTAAGACTGACTTCCATTACCCTCTCCTTACTGCATACTTCAGCACTTTCTCCAGCTTTGTCAGTGTGGGCTCCATACTGGTGCTGCATACTCCTAGATGGGCTTAACATATGTTGTATAAAGGGCCCAGAATGACTGTTGGCTGCAGAGGTTATTTGGTTAATGTGAGGCTCTGACAATATACCAGGCAATATGCTCACCCTTAAGTTTTTCGCTCTGAAAGAGATCTGTGGCTTCTGTCACCAGTCTATACTCCGTGTCCACTCTTCTTGTCTCGTCCTCAATATTGCCTCATTACCTAGCAACTACTGGAGTTGAATTCAAGCAGCCACGTATCTGACCAATCTTGCAGTTTGTCCAGATTAATTTGGTGTCCCGTGGCCTAGTAGGCAATGCTCACACATTGAGCATCTGTGGTTCAATCCAGAGCCAGGTGGAAACACAGGGCGTGTTTCTTTACACCTGCTGTCTAATCCTGATTGGGTTATTGAGGCTAGGGCTTGGGTAGTTTCAAATTTAGGCTGGATAAATGCATGAGTGAGAGGGGTTGGATTTGAGTGGGACTTGCATATCAGAGCTTATTTCTTGGGTAGCATTGAAGGTTGGGTTGGGCAAATGTTTTGTTAGTGGGATGAACTGTAAAGGACTTTCCTAGTATGGGCCAACAGGCCTGCTGCAGTGTTCCTCCTTTCTTATGTTCTTATGATTTTATTGACGATGATCATACTTACGATTACGAAGGGATCTGCGTTTATGAATTTTTTCTTAATAATGTGCAACGTGCTCAGAGTATATATATTCCCCAAAGAGAAACTAGGTCAAATAATAAGGATCCCAAATGGGTTAACAGGAGGCTAAAGTATCTATTAGGGGAGAAAAGGGGAATTAACAGGCACATCAAAAGAGGAAAGGTTAACCTTACCAATATGTTCAGCTTAAAAGAGAAGTAAAAAAGGGGATTAGAAAGGCCAAACGTGACTATGAAATTAGAGTTGCTAATGAATCAAAGACTAATTCAAAAGAGTTCTTTCAGGTGTACAGAATGAAAGTGAGGGAAAAATTGGAAACTGGGAATGGACAGCTGATGGATAACAAAGTGGAAATGTGTTCTCTATTTAATGACTATTTTTTGTCAGTTTTTACACAGAAAGACGTAAATGAGATACCAGAAATTAGCAATTATTCAGTTCCTAATGAATTCAAATTAACTAATATTACTGTCATGAGGGACATGGTTATCAAACAAATAGATAAACTGAAGCAAAATAAGTCCCCGGGACCCGACGAGTTGTTTTCCAAGGTACTTAAAGAATGCAAGATGGAACTTAATCAGCCATTAATGAGTGTGTTTAATGCATCCATCCTAACTGGTGTTGTGCCAGAGATGTGGAAGAAGGCTAATGTGGTTCCTATATTCAAATCAGGGGATAAGTCCATTTCTTCAAATTACCGTCCAATAAGCCTGACGTCTATAGTAGGCAAATTATGAGAATCAATTATAGCTGATGTTATTAGAAGTCACCTTGAAGAGTATAATTTGATTAATAAATCTCAGCATGGGTTCATGAGAGGTCATTCCTGCCTGACAAATTTACTGACGTTCAATAGAACATTTGAGGCAGCAGACAGTGATAAAGAATATGATATTGTTTATTTGGATTTTAGTAAAGCCTTTGATAGAGTACCTCACAAGAGACTCTTAATCTTAAAAGTGGCAGCTCATGGTATACGAGATAAAGTTCTTGCATGGATAGAAAGCAGAGAGTTTCCATTAATAGGGCCAAATCTGAATGGGGATTAGTCACTAGTGGCATTCCACATGGATCAGTTTAAGGCCCACTCTTGTTCATAATTTACATTAATGACCCTGATGAAGGAATTACAAGTAACATGAGCAAATCTGCTGATGATACAAAGGTAGGCCGTATGATTCATTCTGAGGAGGATGCCAATGAACTCGAGGAGGATTTGGACAAATTAATGTCTTGGTCTGAAAAATGGCAGATGAAGTTCAATGTGGACAAGTGTAAAGTGCTAGTCCTTGGTAATGAATATAACCCTCGAAGTTATAAACTAGGTGAGGTAGAGCTTGATCATACAGAATGTGAAAAAGACTTGGGAGTCATGGTAAGCAGAAATCTAAAGCCAAGACAGCAGTGCCTAAGTGTGTGCAATAAGGCTAACAGATTACTGGGATTTATTTCAAGAAGAATAAGTAACAGAAGTCCAAAAGTTATTTTACAGCTCTATACATCACTAGTGAGGCCTCATTTGGATTATGCCGCTCAGTTTTGGCCTCCTTACTACAGGATGGATATAGACTCATTGGAGAACACACTGAGAAGAATGACTAAAATGATTTACTGTGTAAGGAATCTCCCATATGAAGATAGACTTAGAGCCTTGAATCTCCACTCTCTGGAGAGATGTAGAATGAGGGGAGATACAGTGGACCCCCGCATAACGATGGCATCACATAGCGATTATTTCGCATACCGCTTACTTTAACTGCAAAAATTTTGCCTCACATACCGCTTAAAAACCCGCTTACCGATTTTCGTCCGAGACGCGTCCAATGTGCGGCCTGAGCCACGCTCACATGTTACGCCGGTGGCATTGTTTACCAGCCAGCCTCCGCGGTAACATCCAAGCATACAATCGGAATATTTCGTATTATTACAGTGTTTCGGTGCTTTTTCTGGAAAATAAGTGGACCATGGGCCCCAAGAGAAGCTTCTATGTGCCAACCCTACAGCAATAAGGGTGAGAATTACAATAGAGATGAAGAAAAAGATCATTGATAAGTATGAAAGTGGAGTGCATGTCTCCGAGCTGGCCAGGTTGTATAATAAACCCCAATCAACATCGCTACTATTGGTGGTACAGCTGCTGCTGCTGCTGCTGCACTGTCAGCTGCTGCTGCTGCTGCACTGTCAGCTGCTGCTGCTGCTGTAGCACGTTGTTGGTGTGGCTTATTGGAATACCAAGAAACAATTAACCCCGAGGATTTGCCACCCAGGATAACCCAAAAAAGTCAGTGTCATCGAAGACTGTCTAACTTATTTCCATTGGGGTCCTTAATCTTGTCTCCAGGATGCAAACCCCACAAGTCGACTAACACCCAGGTGAACAGGGAAAAATGCCTGGAACTAGTGCTTTATATTGGGGAATTTAAGCCAGCAAAGGTTGGTTTGAGAGATTTAAGAATCGTAGTGGCATACACAGTGTGATAAGGCCTGTCTGGAGAAAATGCCAAACAGGACCTACAGTACTCAGGAGGAAAAGGCACTCCCAGGACACAGTGTCTCATCAGTCATTGCTGCATCTTCAATAAAGGTAAGTGTCATTTATTCTTCATTTAGTAGACTAGTACATGCACAAAATATACTGTGCATGTACTACTCTACTATTTTGCATGTATCCTTCTCTTTGTGTGTGGGAAAATGTATATTTCATGTGGTAAAATTTTTTTTTTCATACTTTTGGGTGTCTTGCACGGATTAATTTTATTTCCATTATTTCTTATGGGGAAAATTCATTCACATAACGATTATTTCGCATAACAATTACCCCTCTTGCACGGATTAAAATCGTTAACCGGGGGTCCACTGTATCTTCGAAGTGTATAAGTGGATGATAGGCATAAACAAAGGTGATATTGGTACAGTACTGAGGGTGTCGAACCAGGTAAGAACCAGAAATAATTAATTAAAGTTGGATAAATTTAGATTTAGAAAGGACATAGGTAAGTACTGGTTTTCGAACAGAGTTGTGGATACGTGGAACAAT